AGACGCTACGTTCTTGATATATATATATATATATATATAGACCTTTTTCAGAAGTTAGCCTGAAGTGCTGAAACAACTCATGCCTGTTTGAGACGCTACGTTCTTGATATATATATATATATATATAGACCTTTTTCAGAAGTTAGCCTGAAGTGCTGAAACAACTCATTCTTTTCGTCAGAAACATACCGGTGACATATACTGGCACTTCATTTCATGATCCGTTCCATTTTCTAAAAACGAATGTGCAGTGAATTATGCAGAACAAATACGGTCATCTCACCATCAAATACTCTATACAAACTGGGACATATCGTAAAATGGTTGTATACTGTTAAATATCTTAATTGTAATGAACATTTATTTTTAAAGTTCAAATATACAACTATATATGTATTCCTTGTTATCACTCCTAGTCGTACGTGTTCGGACAGTTTTTGCTATAGTTATTATCTTGGAATGCTTCATATTTTTAAGGGTCGTTATTACTAACTAGCTTAAATAAAACAGCATAACCTATTACAGAGGTCGGCAATCTGATGCTCTTTAACCCTCTCGATGTTCAATCATTGAAATAGGGGTTACATGCACTGCAGCTTTCAGTATCTTGCGTGAAAACAAGATGACTCTTGTTATTTGGGTTGCTAACCTCATACCTATAACATGTAGTTCAGTCATCTTCAACAGTACTACCTAGGATTTTCTTCAATAATAATCGTATTTAAAGGCGAACAAGCTTATGACGTGTTATTGGTCTCAAAGTTGAAAGGCCATTTAGTCTTTTACCATGCATTTTTGACTTATCCGCATATATGTATAATGTCTATTGATAATCCGTACAAACAGATAGATATATGAAGAGATCTCTTGGAATGAGAAAGGTCAGACAACTTTTTAGCTACTATTTTTTCCTCACTGAGAGTTACAAAATTAGAGGAGAATGGTGTATTTTTAGCAGAGGGTGGGTTAGTCCTAACATTAAACAGGTGTAACATACTCCAACTTTACGAATATGCTTAGTTGGCATTAAAAAAAAAGTTTTCTGTAACATACATAAAACATGAAGAGAGGAGACACGAACCGAAGTTTGTCTTTAGTAAAGAACACTGCTCGTTTGTTTGTTGAAAGAGCAAAGCCACATTGAGCTATGTGAGACTCCCACCGCGGGGGAATCGATCCACGAATTTTAGCGTTGTAAGTATATAAGCTTACCACTGTCCCACCGGGGGACGAACAGCGTTCGACAAGTGTGGCGTTTCTATTTATTAGATGTGTTTTCTACACTTCTTTTTTTTTTAACTGCAACCCTAATTTCATTTACTTTTGTTTGTTATGTTGTTAAAAATATTGTTGTTTCTCCGCAATAAAATGTTGTTATCCTTACAAAGAAATTACAAAATAAACGCCTGCAGAAGCAAGACAATGATTGCACTGTATACATTGCTTTGATTCGACATTGTTATAAGCAAAACACTGAAACATTCAGGTATTTAAAATAAAAAATAATTGATTAAATTTTGAAATTTACAAAGAATCGTAGACAAGTTTTACGGTTCTGGAGGCTCAAAATTAAGTCTCTTCAAATTCCAAAAAATTCCAAGAAAACGATAGAGGAAATTGTGAAAAGGCTAAATGATGAGTTTTCGAGCTCACTTTTCTCATTTAATCATTAGGGATTTGGTCACGGAACAGTATGTATAAATAACTAAAAACTACACACAAGTATATTTTTTATTGAGAATTACATTCAACCGAGAAGAAATGTTTATTTTTTCAATAATAAAGTTATTGTTATGGGTATGACGTGAGTTTTGGATTCAATAATAAAGTTATTGTTATGGGTATGACGTGAGTTTTGGATTCAATAATAAAGTTATTGTTATGGGTATGACGTGAGTTTTGGATTCAGTAATAAAGTTATTGTTATGGGTATGACGTGAGTTTTGGATTCAGTAATAAAGTTATTGTTATGGGTATGACGTGAGTTTTGGATTCAGTAATAAAGTTATTGTTATGGGTATGACGTGAGTTTTAGATTCAATAATAAAGTTATTGTTATGGGTATGACGTGAGTTTTAGATTCAATAATAAAGTTATTGTTATGGGTATGACGTGAGTTTTGGATTCAGTAATAAAGTTATTGTTATGGGTATGACTTGAGTTTTGGATAAATAAATTTTCCTTTTCTGACGCAACGTCTCCCGGTGAGACGGCGGTACGTCTACGGATGCCCAACGCTAAAATTCGGGGTTCGATTCCCCTCGTTGGACACAGCAGATGGCCCGATGTGGCCATACACCCAACACTGACCGCAACATTCCCAAGAGGTTTCTCCAGATTTACGAAACACCACTGAATGATCTCTCCTGGAGCCCCCCAGTGGCACAGCGGTATGTCTGCGGACTTACAACACTAGAAACCGGGTTTCGGTACCCGTGGTGAGCAGAGCACTGATAGACCTTTGTGTAGCTTTGTGCTTAACTACAAAAAAAAAACTCTCCTGGAGTTTAATTCCTAAAGATGACAAGGTCGGCCAATTATCATCATATAGTGAGCTTTACAAAATTACCCCAAATGACAAGGTCGGCCAATTATCATCTTAATATAGATTTGATAAAATTACCCCAGATGATAATGTCGGCTAATTGTCATTATAATACAGATATAATAACTTATCCCCGGACGACACGGTCAGCCAATTATCATCATACTACAGACTTTATAACATTAACCCAGATAACATAAAGTAGATTTGATAAAATTACCCCTAACAACAAGGTCGGTCAATTATCATCCTACTGCAGATTTTATAAAATTACCCAATATTACAAGGTCGACCAATTATAATCATATTGCAGATGCCATAAGATCACTTCAGGTCGGCTAATAATTATGATACTGCAGACTCGACTCGTAATCTGAGGGTCGCGGGTTCGAATCCTCGTCACACCAAACATGCCAACCTCCGCCTTTGCCTGGTCCCAAGTCCAGGATGAGAAAGGAGGAGGGTTGGGCGCGGGGCTAGCCGTAAAAAACAACCTGCTACAAGAAAAACTGCAACAACACCTTCCGTTGGCGAGGTGTTGTTGCGGCCCTATGCTCCACTGGGAATAAAAATATTGTTAAAAAGTGCCTAAATATTTTTTAGAATGAGTGGTTCCTCTCTGATGATGATCATGTTTATAAGGACTTTAAGCCACCAACAGTTCATCAGAAGCTAGATATAAAGAGCTACCTGGCATAGTCGCTCTATCTCCGGTGTATATGCCGCTTTTCAGCTATCCAGAGCGACCCAAAATCGAAAACCGGCGAATAGCCAAAACCGAGGTTTCTTATTTTCGTTCATAATCATCTTTCTTTAACAGGCCTAGCGCCTACCTAGTTCCAGTGGTAACTATAATTTTATCATCATTGGATAGAGCAAAACAGTTTTCACGGTCTTAAACTATCTCTTATATTAGTATTCTATGTAAAATTTATAAAGCTTTAGAATACACTCTATAACCCAGTAACCCACGTACGTCATCTTATAAAAAGTAAACAAACAAGTATTAGGACAGAACTTTATCGCTAAATAACAAAAGCTGTGTAGGATTGGTTACTGAACCAAACAAAATAGTGATGGAAGTGGACGTATCACTTGATCTGGCTAGTGATCACATAGCAGACTAAGCTGTCTTGACTTTACATGGAGAATAAAATCCCTACATTTCTGGCTTCCTCACTGGCAAAACAAATGGAACCAGAATTTCCAGTCGTAAAATGTTACTCTATTGTAAAATAGTCATAAATATAGTATTCTAAAGTTAACTAAAGGAAAGGCATAATGAAGCTGAGATTCTATTCAAACACCAAGTTTTCGACAGACAAAGTGGGGAAACCAGTAACGCAAGGATTTGATTCTCCATGTAAAGTCGAGACAGCTTAGTTTCCTATTTGATCATTAGCCGATCAAGTGATCTGTCCACTTCCATCTTATCTTGTTTGGTTCCTTTTTTTCAAGTTCAGTAGCCAGCTTTACATAGCTTTTTTATTCAGCGATAATTTTTTCCTTATGTTGTTGCCCCCCAGTGACACAGCGGTATGTCTGCGCCAGAAACCGGGTTTTGATACCCGTGGTAGGCAGAGCACAGATAGCCCTTTGTGTAGCTTTGTGATTACCTTCAAACAAACCAACCTTATGTTGTTATCAATAGAGAACGACTTACCTGCATTCACCAGGTTTATCGCAATATCCGTGTTGAGGATGGCAACCTTCTTTACACACGGCTGTAACATAGAATGTGATAGTAAGTACATATTATTTCCAAACATACAAAAGCAAAATTTAGAATTTTGAGGCAAGATGAAGATTGAGTAGAGTGCAGCTAATGAAATAAGTCAATTGAGCCAAAATAAATGTGTATAACTTTGATACTTCAGTCTTTTTAAGGAAACAGAAAAGGCACTTTACAAGATCAATCATAATTAGTTGGGCTATTTGTGGCCAAGTAGTTAGCGTTTAGCGATGTAAATCGAAAGGTCCAACGTTCGTTCCTGGATACAAATGGTCACGCTCCATACTCAAGTTTTGCATGAGTTATAAGAGTGACAGTCTCTTGTGTTATTCGATTCAAAGCTGAACACAATCCTAGTGGCGCCTGTTGTTTATTACCAACAGCTTTACTTCCTTCAAAATTGTAGAAAGCTATATTTGAACCGTAGAGGTATCTGACCTGGCCTTTTAGTTCATATGCATCTAAGGTGTCATTCTGCTTTATTAGGAACAAAATAATGAGCTTTAACTAATCTGTAAAGGAGTTCATCAAAATACCCTACCATAAGAATTAGGATTTCCCGTTGAATGTGAAACTGAGTTGGAAACAACATGAACTAATAAATCTAAAATAAACTTACATTTATGAAACATATCAACTCACATCATACAGTGAAATACACTACACCAAAAAATTAAAGACTAGTCGGAATTTCTAATATTTTATCTACGGTAAAACAAAAGCGTTGTTATAAAATAGTGTAAATTACCCCACTGACTATATATGCAGGTATCTAGTGATTAGTCATGTGATCTAATTTACAAATAAATGGTCAACCTGTATAAAGTAGTCTCACACAATAATGTTTCACCTTTACTTTAGATTGGATCACATAGTTTAAAGCAATCTAGATTGTTCGTGAATTATGTTTAGGTCTCCAAGACGACAAATAAATGTTACACTCATACGGAAAGCCATTCCACCAATGGAAGCCAGTCAATGACAGCAGACTGTTGCAGACTGGTTACTAGTTTCTCAAACTGTCGTTTGGAGAATGAGGAACAACTTCCAAAAGAATGATACAGTTGCTTAACGAAGCTATTTGTTTCTTCATTCTAGCTACAACCTTGGAATATCTGTTCCAAGAATGTATAAGAACTTTGCAGCTGAATTAGACACCGTGTACAAACGGTTTGAAACAAATTTCATAAGGCCAGCCTCATGCCATACGTTCAGAGAAAAACACGAAATAGCTCGCCTGCAAGGGTACTAAGAGCAAGTCCAATGAGCCGATTACAGGTGGAGCTTTTGAAGGGTCACCATATTTAAAATGAGTGTTTAATGGGATCTAACTTTCTACTCTCTTCAAAAATTGTCTTCAGGATAACTTGAAATCAATTTTTTTAACGCCAGTTGAAATTTGTTTAAATTTTTAAATGTCAATTTCATTTCATTTTACTCAGTTTAATTTGTATCTATTTATTACGTTTTCATTTGTTATGTATTCCACTGCAGTAGCTTTGTCTCAATAAGATCATGTATCCTGTTATAGATGTGGTATACTATGCATTTCTATCTTCTTGTAATGTTATAGTATTTATTTTGAATTTATTCTTTTTTCTGTGTATATGCAGTTTTCATATAACACGTAGTCGAGAAAGCCGTTAAGATGATTTTGTTCTAGCTTCCTTCGTTCCTTTGTTATTCTTGAATGGATAATATTTGTTATTCTCCAGAAAATATTGCCACAATAAACTACGTTGTGCAAGGAATAATAATGGCCAGTCACATAGTAACTCTAGATACTCTGTATATATGCGACGTTTCATATAAACTAAGGAACACACTGGGCGAACACAGTACTTTGCATTGATTCCTTTCCATTACCATAAACAACTGATAGTCTGGACAAGCTGGAAATGGCCCATTAGTTCAATACATTAGACCTGGCATCCAGATACTGAAAATCCCAACTGGATGACGAGATCAAGGCAAAACTACTTTCAGCACGAGATATGGTTTGTACGAGTTTTGTAGCGTGTCATTTGGCCTGCGTAATACGTCCACCACTTTTAAGAGGGTAATGGTTTTGTTTGTTTTGTTTTTAAATATGCACAAAGCTACACAAGGGCCATCTGTGCTCTGCCCACCACGGGTATTGAGCATTTGGTTACACATTCCAATCTGATGTTTAGGACCTGAAAATGGCATTCCATTGGATAAAAAAAAGACAGGCTTGAAACTGACACAAGGAAAATGTGTGTACATGTACATGAAAGTGGAATTTCTTGGTCGTATTTTAGGTAAACCGATCCTGCAGTGGTGGGAGACTGTCTCCAGCCTGTGATCAAGCAAGAAGTCTACAGTTCTATTAGCTTCAAATCCTGTTACCAATGGTTTGTGGCAAACTTCTCCAAGGTCACTTTATCATTATCAGCTCTTAGCAAGGGAGAGACGTACTTCTGATGGACTGAGGAATGTTAGGAAGCCTCAATGTTGGTATGTCCATGATGGGATTGTGAATTTCTGCTAGACACTGATGCCAGTGATGGTAGAATCGAAGCAGTGTTATCGCACTTGCAGAATGGAGTAGAACATATAATTGCGTATGGTAGTCACAGCTTCTGAATGTAGATACTGTATGATGAATAAAGAACTGCTTGTTCATGTACAGTAGGAAGTTCACTGAGTAGACATTCGTTGCTGAAGTGGTTGATAAACGTTAAAAACCCCGAAGGGATGATAGCACACTGGACAACAGCATTGGAGTAGTATTATTTAATCATACATTATTGTGCACGTCTACAACCCGGAAACACAGATGGATTGTCTTGCCAAATTGGGACACCCTGTTTGTTCATTGAAAGTCCTAATCTTGAAGTTGAGACTATTTCTGCCAGAGAAATGATAAACCATATAATAGGAGTTTCCACTAGCGAATAGATGTCATGATTAACACTTAGTTTGATCCGGGAAGAGAAACTGAAGAATCCAGATCTAGTATGGATTCTCATTGCCATGTTGCAAGGTAAAGTGTAACCAAACTAGAATGAGGAATGTAGTACAGATATATATACCCTATAGTATTGTACGAGCAGTTATTGGTGCATGAAGATGTGCCTTTCCATTGTTATAAGCCACTAAGTAGTGGGCCTTAGCCTGTGTTACAGCTAGTGGTCTCCAGAATTTTGAGGTCTAGGATTCCCCAGACTTTGCACAACCCAAAGTCTGGAGAGCACCAAGGTGTCACACACACACACACACACACACACTTGTGTTAACGTTTGACAGCAGTTTTTCTTTCCACAGTTGAATCCAAATATTCAGAACTGGTATGGACATTATATGCTGTGTGCCACACATAAAAAAAGCTGACCTAAATAAGGTAAACTCCAGCAAACAATTGTTGGTTATCATCTGCAAAGAATAGCCCCAGATATTGGTGGATCACTCATAGATATGAAACAAGGTCACCCGTATATACTCATGGTCATCAATTACTTCATGAAATTGGTCAAGAATTATCGATTGGTCGAAACATCCACATAGTCCATGGCTGATGTATTGATGGATCACAGAATAGTCTAGTTCAGAACACCTTAATAAAATCCATGTGAATCAGGGAGTTAACCTTTATAGCCAACTGTTTGCTTGGTTGTATAAAGTGTTGGGTGAGGTGAAGTTGTGCATTTTACCTTATCAGCCCCAGTCTGGTGGTTTGGTGGAACAAATGAAATAAATTATCAAACATAAACTTGCAAGGTTTCTTAACCTTTGTAGAACTGAGTTGGATGAACACTTACCAAATATGATGATGGTGTACCACACAACTGAACAGTTGTTCACCAAATATGCTCATATTCAGCTAAGAAATTTGGCTTCCTGTAAATGTAATGTACAGTCATCTCACAATGTTCACAAGAACATGTAGCGTGCTTAAAGTCCATGTTGGTTGACGCACACGTATTTGGACGCCATCAGCTTGATTAAAGCCACCATATAACAGGAAAGGTGCTACAGAAAGACATCAAGAGAAAGACATGGAGAGTGGGTGTGGCTTTGATACGTACCAGCAGCTCAGAAGTCTCTAGGCTCTGACTTGACAGGAAATCATCTTGTGCTCTGACGAGTTAATCCATTAAGTTGTGAGTTAGAGCAACCAAAGAATTGCAGAATGGTTTGCACGAGACGAAACACCAGAGGAGTTTCACGAGAATCACTCACTTGACCTAACTGGGTGGCTAGGGCTTAATGTAGAATAATACATAATCTTTGTTAGATCTTTTTCCAGCACACCTTGCGCGAATTTTAGTTAGGAAAATATTAATTTGGCTGAATTATGTCAGTGATAATTAATTTTGTAATGCCTGAAAAGCAAAACGTGTGAGTATGGTGGTTTGTAGGTGGCAACCAATAGGACAGCAACCAAGCACTAGCTCAGGAAAGTATCCCAAGATAGTTATGAAGTGATATGAGTGGGGTCCTAAGGCAGTCAGTCTTTTCTAAGCTATCAGAGTTTGTGTCGATGTGGAATGTAGATACAATACATTTATGTGGCAATATACGTGTCAAAATAAATACTCGGGTGTGGTCCCACATGCATGTAGGAACATTAAATAAAGTCATTTATGCGAGTTGTTTAACACAAATGCACCAATCACATAATGATCAAAATTAAATCACATTATGAATTAAAATAAAGGATTTAATCTAGATGTTAAGACCTTGTGATATGAAGTTAACTGCGCTTACTGACCTATAAAGTATTATTTGAAGATATAGTGTACCTGTTATTTTCATTAGCACTTTTGAGGGAATGTTTTATTTTCAATACTGAGCCATTCGACAGGAAGTGAATTTCATGAAAAGGTATTAGGAGTGGAAAATAGTTTTACCTGATGTTTTTTGATAAGAGTAGTACAATATGTTGTAATTTGATTGAATAAAAATGTTTAAGAGTAGATGAAATTATCAGTAGTATACAAAATTCACAGTGAGTGGCTTGGATATCACGACAAGTATATACTTGGTGAATATAGCATTTTATTTGATTGTGATGGAATATTTTCAATCATGCAGATCAAAATACTTTAAAAACACACAGTTTTATAAATATCTTCTTAACATTGTTTCAGAACAAGGTGCAGTATATGATGTCCGAAAATGCAAGCTGTAAGTGAACTAAAGCGAGATGGAAAGTAACACTCGTGTGGTGAATATTTGTAAACCGCACCAAACTAGTAACTAGGGGAAGGTCCCTGAGGAAAAATAGTGTGAATGTTAGTGTATTCTAATAGTCAAAAGTAAGGGATAGCAATGCTTAACCCAATTATACTCTTGTGTAGGACCCAGTTTTGCAGTCTCGATCCCATTCATTTTCTACTTGAAGGGTATTGTTTACATAACAAGCAGATGGTAGTGGAAAGAACGGATCTGGGTCAAAGGGTAAGCATGTTGAGTATTGTTACAGGAATGGCAATAAAGTGCTGAATACATGTCCTATGAGTGATTAGAGCATGAGCACATGTGAACCCCAAAGAAATGTCGCTTGACCAAGGTAATACATTGATAACTCTGTCTCTAAAGGTAATTTTTCAAAGGAACTAATGGTTGTAACCAGGCAGTTATGACCCTTTTTCAACCTACATACCTAGATAACTTTTTTTTACCAATTAGAATCCATCTAACCTTCCATTTTCAATTCATACTTTATATTTCTAAGATCAGATCCTTGACCAATTTGGTTATCTTGTCTTCAACTAGACACTGGTATTTTTTTCCATTCTTGAATAAACATGGAATAACAAAAGTTTTGATGATGCAAATCAGTATGCCCAGAATTTTTTGTTTGGCAAGAAGCTGAAGTTGCTTGGAGCTGACTTGTCCTTCCACCTGGTAGAACCTATGGATGAAGATACATGTTGTCAGTCAAAGCTTCTGACGCACGGAATATTGCTCAGTTGGTTGCTGGGTTGACTTTCAAGTTTCCCAAAACCAAGCAGCTCCTGTCAGATGTGGACTCATCCACAGAGTCCAAGTTCCTGCCAGACTTAGCAACCGCCGTGTGGAAAATCCATCACCAACTCACACACTTCTACACTGTTCAAGTCAAGCTCGCAAGTGGTTCAGCAACAACAGCCTAAGTTAGTATTTCCTACAGCAAAACAGAAATTGAAGAAAACACCTTGCAATGGAAACATCTCATTAAGTTTACTGTCAAAAGCAGTTTGACAATAACAAGAAGAAGACATCAAATGTGCACCAGCCTCTGGTGCAACCGTTGCATCCAAAGGCCAAGAAGATCTTCCTGGTCTTGAAGTCGCCTCGTGGGTCAGCCAAACACTCAACCAGCATCTACTACCACAGAATTAAACTCCAACCTCTAAAGGAGTACTGGCAGCCCTTAGAGATATACTATAATGAGACCACCGTCAACAACAGCAAGGACATGCCTGGTGAAATAAGGAGTTTTGACTTTCAAAACCCCTCAGTGAAATGAAGCAAAAAACCTCCTCAGCATCCGCAGTTGAACCACCTTCAAATAAGTTACCCAGTATGTCTTTATCAAAAGGTTTATTCTTATATTGCTAGCAATGATTCTTTGTCAAAAATAACAAGTATTTGGTGTATCTAAGGGTCACGGGTTCGAAACCCCGTCACACCAAACATGCTCGCCCTTTCAGCCGTGGGGGCGTTATAATGTGACGATCAATTCGTTGGTAAAAGAGTAGCTCAAGATTTGGTGGTGAGTGGTGATGACTAGCTGCCTTCCCTCTAGCCTTACACTGTTAAATTAGGGACGGCTAGCGCAGATAGCCCTCGTGTAGCTTTGCGCGAAATTCAAAACAAACAATCATATTTACTGAGTGTATTAAGTAACTTACCCGTTTCACAGTTAGGTCCTTTCCATCCTAACATACAGATTTTATCTCCCTGCTCACTACAGGTGTGATGTCCAAAACGATCGTGTCTAGGTCGACAGAATTTGGTGCATGTGTAATTGTAATAGTGTGGATCGCACGTCACACGTATTCTATAGCTGATAGTGGCTGTGATACCCGGATGAGACAGTTGATGCCATTCTGCACTGGGTGTAATAATACCCGAATACATATGCCGTTCGATCACCTCGTCAACATCTATATTATGGGGAAAAAAATCTGACCGTAAACATTTACATAAAAAATAGGAACTTAAAAAGCATTATTCTACTTCTCATTTCAAATATATATGATTTACAAAACATATGAGTTTATTTGGAGAAACTCACACACACACACATATATATATATACACATGGCCAGGTGGTTAGGGGCTGGACTCGCAATCTTAGGGTCGCGGGTTCGAATCCCCGTCCCACCAAACATGCTCGCTCTTTCAGCCGTGGTGGCGTTATAATGTGACGGTCAATCCCACTATTCGTTGGTAAAAAAGAGTAGGCTGAAAGTTGGCGGTGGGTAGTGATGACTAGCTGCCTTCCCTCTAAATTCCCACTGCTAAATTAAGGACGGCTAGCGCAGACAGCCCTCGTGAAGCTTTGCGCGAAATTCAACTTCATACACACACATATATATTTATATATAAACACACAGAAATTAAAGCAGTGATAACCTATACTATTAAAAATTTTAATGGGAAAAATTAGCTTATATTTTAGAATCACTTTTAATACAAGAAAAGGATGTTAAAATTAGGACTGTTAACTCTTTGTCATATCTGCCAGTGATAACACAATGTGAGCTGCACTTTTAAGGAAATTCGAAGATAAGTATAAGTTAATTAGAGTTACATACGTATTGAGTTTATTTTCAAACAACGTAAAGTTAATTAGAGTTACATACGTATTGAGTTTATTTTCAAACAACGTAAAAATTTAAAATTCTGTGTTACATTTGGAGCTAAAAACCAAAGAAACAAAAACTCTAAAAAATAGTGAATTTTAACTATATTAACTTTATCCTATCACCAGAAAACCTACCCAGATGCTTTGAATAACATTTTCATTTGGCTTATAACTACAAATGAGTAGGATAAGTTACTGAATGATTGTATATATATATATGCGTTAAAGATATATTTTCATTTTCACCAGAATAATGAATTCAACGAAATGTCATGATATTATTCACATACCTAAATTAATTTAGGTTACTATATGGTGAAGTAAAATGGACTCAAAACACAATAGATAATTTAATCAATTAATTTCGTAAAGCTATTTTAGAGTAAGTAGATCTACTATGAAATAACTTAGGCTTACTGAAACAAAAGGCACAATTTTCTTGTTGAAGTAAAAACAAAGTCGTGTGACAGCGAGAATACGATGAGTCGTGCGCAACTGTCTTTGTTAACTTAGAAACTTCAACGTGTTAAACACATACACTCGCAGCTGTTATCGTTCATACAAACTAATATATTGACACGTGTGCAGTAATAAAACTTAAAACGGTAGACACTGAGAAACTTGTTGTAGTAATAAAACTTAAAACGGTAGACACTGAGAAACTTGTTGTAGTAATAAAACTTAAAACGGTAGACACTGAGAAACTTGTTGTAGTAATAAAACTTAAAACGGTAGACACTGAGAAACTTGTTGCAGTAATAAAGCTTAAAACGGTAGACACTGAGAAACTTGTTGCAATAATAAAGCTCAAAATGGAAGACCTGAGAAACTTGTTGTAGTAATAAAACTTAAAACGGTAGACACTGAGAAACTTGTTGCAGTAATAAAGCTTAAAACGGTAGACACTGAGAAACTTGTTGCAATAATAAAGCTCAAAATGGAAGACCTGAGAAACGTGTTGCAGTAATAAAGCTTAAAACGGTAGACACCGAGAAACTTGTTGCAGTAATAAAGCTTAAAACGGTAGACACTGAGAAACTTGTTGCAGTAATAAAGCTTAAAACGGTAGACACTGAGAAACTTGTTGCAGTAATAAAGCTTAAAACGGTAGACACTGAGAAACTTGTT